CTTTAAAGGCTGAAAGAACAGATGAGTATGGGGAGGAAGGGGATCTACACTGAAGAAGCATTGGCTGTCACTGAGCTTTGTCTTCACTCCCAGACTAACGACGTGGAAGCAAGTGTGAAACACGAGATAGCAAATGATGAATTACCTGTAAACGGAAAATTTGCATCTGCAGATGCTAGTGTGCAAGACGTGTCTCCTGATGAGCACAAACAGTTTATGGAGCCCAAAACAAACATCCACTCTTTGATTCTGGATTTCACCCCGGTGAACTTTGTGGATTCAGTTGGAGCAAAAACATTAAAATCAGTAAGTAGGGCTTTTTTCCCCAGAAAAAGCCATGGAGAACTTGTGAGATACCTAATAGGGAACCCATCAGCATGAGACATAAATACCAGCTCAGATACAACCCAGTATTTCACCTAGTCATGGTTTTAGTTCTGTAGCTCTGTGAGTTTTAGCTGGATACTGGGGAAGGTGGACTGGGCAGTGATACACTTGCGAATAACTTTGATTCAACTCTGTTGCAGATTATAAAAGAATACAAAGAAGTTGGCGTCTGTGTCTATATTGCCAGCTGTGGTGGTAAGTTGAGGTTATTTAATTTTTTTGTGAGCTTTATGGGAGACATTGTGTTTTATCTCTTTCCATTTGGCCCTTAATTTTCTGCTGCCAGGTGCCTCCGTAGTATCCTCACTTAACTTCACATAAAATTGGATTAAAATTGGATTTGAGGAAAAGCAAGCCCATGACATCAGTGCTCTCCTTTCACTGAAGTGAAGGCTCTAATGCATATGGGCATTTTGTATCGTGAAATTGTTATAATAATGTAATAAGGAGAAAAGCCTGCAATGTTTCAGGTTTCTGATATTTGGAATTGTGGCATCTTCTGCCAAGAATAGGCCTCTGTGTCTGTCTGGGTAAGAGAATTACCTTTTTGGTCGAAGTAGTATGTGATCCACCTGGCTATTTTAAATGTTTAAAGTCATAACAAGTAAGAGGTCTTCTCCTGAGATACCGTTGTCTTCCATCTTTGTACTTTAGGTTATGCACTGATGCCATGTTTGGTTTTTAATTTGCAGGTCCTGTTATGAATGAGCTGACAAGACTGAATTTTTTTGATAACACTGTAACAAGAGAGCTGCTGTTTCACAGTATTCACGACGCTGTCCTTGCTTGCCGAGGGAAAGACAGGTCTGCTTCACAGGCTGACTTCGACCTCTGACGAGTGGCATCGAGCAGAACGGAAGCCAGATTTATGCTGATGGAGACTCTTTCTGAGTATTTAATTTGCACAGTTTAAAGAGAGCTTAAGGCTAGTCGTATCTACGGGTATAGGGTGGTGCTTATTTTCTCTAGGAAAAGTGGATAAGGAATTGGAAGCCTTCATGCTCTTAAACTTTTACCTTCAATCAGGGTATAGCCTTCCAGCAACATACAAGCACAAAATTATGCACAACGAGAAAATTCAGTGTGTTCTGCTACAATCAGAATCTGACAGACAAGGTGACATTCCTGTTCCTGTTGAGAAAATGGGCACTTTAACTCACTGTGAGGTGGGATCTTGCAGGAAATCACTGCTCTGCAATTGCAATGCACTGTACCAGTGTCTTTAAAGAACTTTCTTAGATGACTTTTAAAGCCTGATGTCAGTATCTGCGTACAACGGATTCCTATAAATTTATTATAATCTGCCAGCTGGATTAATGAATTCACTCTGGTGGCATTTAGCTGCTACTTTTTAAACTTGGATGGTACAGTTATTTTTTTAAAATACCTAACTTGTCTCAACTATACTCAACTCTTCACTGCCTATTTTCACTCTAAGTGAACTTCATATTAGAAACTCATTATTTAATTATTACATTATCAATATACTTTCACTGCCAAAACCTAGTTATGGTTTCCAGGAAAGAGTACCATTGATTTTAAGCCAAAATTAGTTTAGCTTCAAAGTTTGAAGATAGAACTGGTTTTTAAGGCCGGAGTGAAGCCTATTAAAATCAAATTAAGAACTGATGCCCTCTATGCAGTCTCTTAAGCTGGAATAAAAATGTAGAGAAGGTCTGAAGTCTCAGTGGTCCAAAGAAAAAGAGATAAGTACTTTTCTGTTGCCTGAGATATCTTCCTACCAGCAGCACTGCTTCTGCCTCAGCTTTTACATGCTTTGCAAAACAGATTTCAGTAGAACTCAAAAATGTTATGTGTTTGGGTTTTTAAAAAGAAACAGTAGTCTGAAGCGTTTGGGGTTTTTTTCCTATTGTTTTCACGACCTGGCCACTGTGGTAGCACTTAACTTCAGGCGTGAGACACAAACATGGAAACATAACTCAAGCAAAACAAATAAATCTTCAATGCCTGTATTTCCCTGACAACCATCACCGGGCAGTGGAGTGTCAGTGACATTTCGTTCAGCACCCTCAAATCAAAGGTCCTGTGCATAAGGGAATTCAACCGACTTCCTCCCTTCTGAATGCAGAACTTTTAGTATTTTTATTTTGCTTCAGGCTCTGTTGCAATTAGGGCTTGCTTCAGGTAAACACGTTTCCCAAGAACCAGGGCAGTCAGGGAAGATGTTCTCCTTCCTCAGACTCCCCTGCCACTCGGGATAGGAAGCTTTCTGCATCAGAAATTACTGCTTAGCTGGAGTTCAAAGGATAAACTGAACGCATGTTAACACATTGTGCGTGTTTATTTCAACAACTTTTGGTACGTTTTTATAACGTTAACTCGTTTAACAAGCCTTTGTACTGACATACAGTATATTTTTCTACTTCCAGCTTGTCGCAGCTTCAGTTTTTCACTATGCAGTCTCTTCAGTTCACATCAAAACCCTGTCAACTTCTAAAATAAAGTTATTATCATGACTCGTCAAAATTTTCCACTTTGGTTTGGTGACACTCTGTATGTGGGACAAGCCAAGGTCCCTGGATGCAAGTGCCTGTTTCTAAGGGGTGGGCACCTCCAAGCAGGTCCTCCCTGCTGCTCAGGTTCCTGCACCTCACCCTCCTGGCTCCCTCACCTGACTGAAGCCCTCTCCATGCCAGGCCTCACAATGATGCCATTAATGCTGTATTTCCCATCCAGGTAGCCACAGCTGCACTTCTGGCTGTTGCTAAAACGCTGGGCTGAAAGCTTTTGTCCAAGAAAGTCCGAGACCCCAGCCTGGGCAGCGCTGGTGCTGCGCAGCCCCCTCCTGGGTACTGCCAGCCGTCCTGGTAACTCATTCAGTGAAGTAAAATCTGGCAGCTTTTGACAAGGCTCTTCCTGTGCTTTGCTGCCACCAGCTGAATCACCCACTTCCTACTCGACAGCTGAAGTTATCCACTGAAAAGTGAAGTGACCTCCTCCTCCCTGTACTCATTAACAGACTGCTACCTAAAACTTTAAATCCTACCTTAGGCTTGTCAGTGCTAGATTAAATAAACCCACATCCTTGAATTCCCAACAGGGCTCATCTCTTTCCCCTCTCCAGTTTGTCTACATCGACTTGGTCGTGCTCCTAGGCGCTCACTGCTGAAGCCTCACCACAGCCAATGCCACTGGATAGCCTAAGTCTGGGTTGATGTCGTGATACCTCTCAATACTCAGAATAGTATTCCTCTCCCCTCCTTTTTTTTGCAAGAGTACCAATGATAACTCAGGATACCTGGTAAGATCCAAACTCTTTTTACATACTTCACTTACCATTCTTAAGTAAAAGGTACTCTTAATTTGAAGTGCTGCACTTGGTAAACAGAGAGGTACTCTGTCGGTGCTGCTTTCTGAACTTGCTCTTCCGTCTCAGGCTCAAAATGAAAAAATTCTGTCCCACCAATAATCTTGCATCCTTCCCCAAAATAACACGTAAGGGTTGAGATCAGTTTTTCAAGTAGGTATAGGCAAAATCACAGAACTGCCTAAGTGTGCTTATCAAGATACTGACACTGGCCAAAATCCTAACAAGTCCATGTACCATGTACACTCTTCCCCTATTGTACGCACTGCCCCTTTCAAAAAAAAATAAAGTGGCTTCACAATCTAAGCTTGATAAATTGATGTCAGTTGTATCAAAACAAGACCTGACAAAACTTCTCTCGACTCCAAGACAAAGTGGTTCCCAAAAGCATTTTTTTCCCCCCAGGTATTTCTTCAAGGTGGTTTTTTTTTTGGCCCCCCACAAAACTTTAACGCAACACTTGGAAAAAAAAAAGAGGCAAAGCTGCTGCTTTTCATTGACCAAACCATCCAGCTCTATAGGAACACGCCAATGAATGAAGATCAACCTTTTAATGTTGCCTGCTGCCATCAACTGTCAGCTATTGCCCAGCTACCGAGCATCAGGACCCTGTCAGGGTCATCCTCTGCGCACAGCAGCATCTTAGACAAGTAATATGATGTATCAAAGGGCTCACTAATAGACTGATGTCAAATTTTAATCTTTTTTACAGCAGAAACGGGAAAAAGGAATCTTCCTTCCCTTAGCACTAAGAAATTATACTTCCTCCATCTTGATCCACTTAGTATTTTGTAAGAAACAAACAATCTCAGCAAAAGGAATGGAGAAAACAACTGAAGAAAACAAACAAGTTATGATGGTACCAGAGCGTTCACTCAGAGAGAGAAAAATATCCCTTCACGTCTTCCCAAGCTGGGCAATGACTCAGACCACGAAGTGCCTGAGCTATGAATGCCTTCTCCTCAGCTCTTTTCCCCCCAGTTCCTCAGTTTTCCCAGGACACACCGACCCCTCGGTGCTGAGCATCACACAAGCGTGTCTGAGCGCACCCGGAAACACTGCAGTCACTGAGGGATCTTTCAGCACCTCCACAGCTTAGATGGTAAGTTTTGGGGTGTAAATGGTGACCAGGGGTTTAAACTGTGGATTTCTAACATTGCCCAGGTATCTGATTTAAAAACATCGCACTGGTTCAGGCTGTCTTAGTAGAATCTCACTGAGATTTTCTTCTACAGCAGCAGTACTCCACTCGTGTAGAACACGCTCATAATGAACTCACACCTACTGTTTGGAACACTCCATTTATTTCTAGCTTCCCAGAACAAGACATGAATTACTGACATGAATTACTATGCTTAGATTTTTGTTTCACAGAACGTTTAACAACAGGAAGAAGAAAAACACTCCAAGATACTAGTTGTAGGTCATGTAGCGGGGGGTAGCACTGAATTTTGCATACGATTTAATGACTTTGTTCACTGCTTCTAGGAAGTCTTTCTCTGTTGCGATTTTTCGGCGTGCTCGGATGGCAAACATGCCAGCCTCCGTGCAGACACTGCGAATCTCAGCGCCTTTGAAAGAAAGGGATAAATCAATTCAATGCTGACCACCAGTGGAGGTGAAGCGTATCCAAAATTGATGAAAAAAATAATATTCAGCTTACCTGTGCTATTAGGACACAGTCGAGCCAACAGCTCAAATCTGATGTCTCTTTCAACACTCATCGAACGAGCATGTATCTTGAATATGTGAGTTCTCCCCTGAAAAAAAAAAGAGTGGAGGACAGGAGTGTTCATGCTATGAAAGAGGTGATGACTCCCAGTGTGCAGCTGTCCGCATCCAGAACAAGGGCAGATGGAAAACGCATCTTTTCTTTGCTGCCCAACTATAGTTTCCTATGCCTGGACTAGCATGTTTAAATGCCCATGATACTAAATTAAGAGAATAACTTTAAAAACAGCTTTAATGGTAGAAGTGCCTCAAGAAATCTCTCTCAAAAGAGCCACACAAAACACATTCCAACTTAAGAACTAAATCATGGAACTGGTTAAAGGATTCTTTATCTGTTGAGTCAGGAACACGCAGTGAATACAGCCATTTACAGTGGCTTCTCAGCCAGGGATGGAATCTGTGCAGTGTGGAAAAACCTTTCTGGCACATCTTTAATCCCCCAAATTTCCAAGTAGTTTCACAGAAGTTACGAGTGATGCTTTTGTTAATTCTTGTAAACTGCTTCCAGGCAATAATGCCCGAACTGAAGAAACACTCTGATATCAGAATACACTTAGCTGGGGAAGAAAGCATTCTCACCTCAAGATCAGGCAAGCTAAACTCTATCTTCCTGTCCAACCTGCCGGGTCTCATCAGGGCTGGATCCAGAGTATCAGGTCTGTTTGTAGCCATCAGTACTTTGATGTTGCCTCGTGGGTCAAAACCATCCAACTGGTTGATCAGCTCCAGCATAGTACGTTGCACTTCATTGTCACCCCCAGCCCCATCATCAAAACGAGCACCTGGAGAAAGGAGACACACACGTTTCACAAAATAAGAAAGATCTTCAGAGATGGAGGAGGTGTCACCACTGCTACACCGAAGACTAATAAAAAATAATTTTAAATTACATACAAATATTTGTGACAAGTTTAAAAAAAGGTATGAGGGGGTTACTGAAAAATGACACATTTCCAAAAAAGAGTGAGTGGTGATATCTGTCAGTTACAACGGGCACTCTATCTTCATCCTTAGTATGAAAGGGCCAATCTCCCTGACTAATACGGGCTGAGCTGCTGAAATTCAAAACTGTAGTTTGTTTGTTTGTTTTACCTCCCCTCAACTAAAATACTCATCTCCTTGTCTGTGTAAAAATTGTCCTGCTTTCAAAGGACCTAAGTACTTCCTTTGGGGGAAAAAAACAAAAAAAATATTTAATTTTAGGCAGTAATAAAGCCTAAAAGTAGGCAGCAGTCCAGAAGCTGAAGGGGGTTTAAGTTAACAGCAATTTCTGCAAAGACCATACAGAGATTCCTCACTAAAGTTTAAATAATCTAGGTGTTCCAAACGTGTGAAAATGACTTCTCATCTGGGCTAAATATGTTCAAACTATATAAACCACTTCTTGATAGCTTCCCGGACACGAGACGTGCTGGTAGTAGTTTTGCTAAATAGGTATTTACAAGCACGTTTCTTGAAATGCAGCAATATGGATAAAGAATTACAACACGAAAAGAAAACCTGAAAGTTCTCGTATGAGATCAGAGCTGTACATACTACAAACATACCTCCAATGGCATCAATTTCATCAAAGAATATAAGACAAGCTTTTTTAGTTCTGGCCATCTCAAAGAGTTCACGAACCATTCGAGCTCCCTGAAAGCAAAAATCAGGATTTGGGGCATGTTAAAGGAAAACTATGAAAATCAATTTTTTTTCATGCCTCCAAACACTTCTAAGTTTCCAATGATAAAAGTCTTTTACTTGCACACATATATATAACAGAAGATTCATAAATCTTAAAGCAATTTATAAAGGAGAGAGAAATTACTACTCTCAAATTCAGAAGTACAATCGAAGTCATTTACCTGAGGGCCAAATGAAAAGTAAGTGGCAGAGTTGGGAACAGAATCCTAATCCTAGAGTCCTCCCCAGCTGCAGACTAAACTCTGCACTGCAAAATCCATTTCATTGATGACAGCATACTTCAGGTCTTATAACTGATTGCCTGATCTGCAGTGATTCGTTTGACAGTCCCTCCCGTATCTCCAACATTCAGGTACATTCATCCATCATACCCACTATGGTGTCTGGTGCCCACGACTGGAAATCTGCAAATCACTCCACACTCCATCAAGTATTTGCTCTTACCTCTCCCACATACTTCTGCACCAATTCAGATCCAATTACTCTGATGAAGCAGGCATCAGTCCTGTTAGCAACAGCACGGGCACAAAGCGTTTTGCCTGTACCAGGTGGTCCAAACAGAAGTACTCCTTTGGGAGGCTCAATTCCAAGGTTAACAAATCTTTCAGGCTGTAATGGTGGGAAACAGAAGGCAGGGACATGTGCAAATCAAAGACTATATGCAAATTAAGAAAATCATCAACAAAGAGCAATATAAACCAGGCTAGGCTGGATTTCCCTTGTTAAAACTAGGCCTCCTTCCACTTAGGTGTTTACATTCAGCTACGTTATCTTTTCTTGCTTTTTCAAATGCTAACAGATGACCAATACTTTCAAAATAATAAAAGTTTTGATTTAGAGGTTACTTACATGAAGCAGAGGGGTTTCAACCACCTCTCTCAGCTTTTCAATCTGCTCTTTACAACCACCAACATCACTGTAAGTGACATCTGGCTTTTCTTCTACCTGCACAACAAAAAGGTGAGTGAGTAGTTAACAGCCTGATGGTGCATCTCTCTCTAGGCTTTCAAGAGACCAAAACAAAATCCAGCCAAGTAATCAAAATTACAATACAAGGCAACATCACAGTAAGTAAAGGCAGTTCTCACTTGCATCATGGTGACTGTAGGATCAATCTTGGGAGGCAAGGGGATATGGATTTGATACTTGTTTCTATCCACCCTGGTGAGAAAACAAAGACTATTATTGTAACACTGGTTAATTAAACTATCATGTAGAAACAACTCAGTAAATTGCAAGCTGAATTCTTAAACTGTTCTTTTCTCTGGCATCAAGACAGCCCAACCCTTAAAGCTAATAGTCAGATGGGCTAGAAACTAGAATTCCTTCTGCACAGACACTTAAGGTTTCCAAAAATATTAATTCCAAAGTATTTTGAAAACTAAACTTCAAAATATCCCACAGAGTAAACTGGCAAAACATTGATTCTAAAAGTAACTTGCTTCACTCCTCAGGGAACGTCTCCTGTAGCCACCCTGTGTGTAACTGTGCAGACTGCCTAAGAGGAGCAGGCTACGCAGACTCCGTGAAAGCTGGGACTATTGGGACCCAAACTGAAAGGTTTCAGTCTATGACACACAGTTCTTGTCAGAATTGCACCAAAATCAGAAGATTCCAGCACAGCATGCCATAAGTTACTGTATTCCAACAGAAAGACATTTGTGTTAGAATTTCAACCACTGCAAAAACATGAAATGATAGCTGTTGAGCTGTCAAACTAATGCATCAGATGAGAAAGCTTCAGTAAAACTCAAAAGAACACAAAGACTTTGCTTACCCAACTCTCATGCCTTCTTCTATGTCAGTAGGTGCCACCTGGTCACTGAGATCCACCACGAATTTGGCAAACTGCTTGACATTGATAATGTACTTGGGATCCTCAGAGTCTGCATTGATTATCTTTGTGCACCTAATACAGGACACGCAATTAACACCACCAGGCAGACAAGCTCACTGTCTGGCTATTTGGGTAAGCATCAAGATGAGACAGCCCTATTTTCCAAATACACCAAAGTAGCTATTACACTTGTGATTCTATTATTACAGCATCACACAATAATTACAGGAATAGGCACAAGTATGAATTACATAATACATGCACAAGCACAACACAGCTCCTTTTCGACACAATGTTTAAAAGCACTTTCAATATGCACGACACATGAACCTCACTTTTTAAAAAAGTCTACACGTAAGTCATAAATCACACTTTTAACACTGTGCAGCTTCACTGCAAAGAGAAAGAGGGCACCCACCTTGCAACCTGTAATGGCTGCTCACTTTGGAGAGTTTGCTTATCTGCAGCCAGATCCCAAAGGGCAGGAGGAGCGAGCCCAGTGTCGGATTCCTTGATTCCTGTGCATGACACAAACAAGCTGAGGAGGAAGCAGCTAACTGGTACGTCAGCGATCCTTCCCACACCAAGAACCTTAAACATAAGCCTGCAGGAAGCTTTTTGAGATGTCTAAAGCACACACACATGCATCTTTGATGGAATTCCTAAATAACAAGTTTCCTAAAGAAATGAGGCCTACGTGACTGTGCCAGCTGAACATGCAAATACCAGTCTAGTCATCCTCTAATACAATTCTGTGGTGTGGGGACAATTAAAACCAAGCCTGATAGAGGTATCAGAGATAAGCATATTTCTAAAAGTTACAAAAAAGGAGTGAAACCCTGCAAGTGCTTTGACCGAGGGAAAGCTTTAGTGCAAGATATAATAAGCTAAGGGATTCACACAGAGGAAAAACCTAATAAATCTTCCAAAACATTAATATAAAATGTACTATCTCCATGATATATTTGAAAGAATCAAGGATTTTACTGGAAAATAGAAATCGTGATCTTCGTGGCAGAACTAGAACCTGGCCACTAGAGGATTAGTACCAGGGCAACAAACACACATTAGCGAAACAAAGAAAAACTAGGAAACAAATTAATTTTTCTTGTAACTGCCATACAGCTGATTTTAAACATTAACTGCTCTGATGCACATTTCTTTGTTATACAAGGACTGGTACCACTACTTAATATTGTGGCTGCCCCATCCCTGGAAGTGTTCAAGGCCAGGTTGGATGAGGCTTTGAGCAACCTGATCTAGTGGAAGATGTCCCTGCCCATGGCAGGGGGGTTGGAACTAGATGATCTTTGAGGTGCCTTCTAACCCTAACCATTCTCTGGTTCTATGATTCTATGTGTTGGGTTTTCACAGTTTATGGAAGTTCACTCACTATTCAAACGCAGCTTGACACAAACCACAACCAATTATCTAATGACAGAAACGGGCATTTGTTTCATGCTACCGTAATACATAAAAATTACGATTTTGAATAAAAATGTGTTAAACTACAAAATTACATAATCATATGTACAGGGTTAGCCCTGCCCAGTCTAAAACACCATCACCTACAAAGCAAAAATCTCATGTTATGAAATACAGAAATGTATCCTTTTAAGAAAAACTACAGTAATAAATCGATGCAGAAGTTGTTTAAAATCAGCTTCTTAAAACACTCGTTTTGGTGTTTGTCTCTTCTTTTGAAAGTTATCTTAAGAAAGATAGATACCAGTGAGCTCATTGATTTTCTTAAGTAGTTGTTGAATATCATCTTCTACTTGCTTGATCTGCCTCGAGTATGTGCTCTGGCCCTGGAAAAGAAACATCATGTGGATTTCGTAACTCAAATTATTTTGTTTAGGAGAAAACGCCAATAGCTGCTGAGCATCAACATGTTCAATAGACTGTCTTGATGTAACATCCAACTATTGATCACAGCCAAAAAAGACAGTATTATGTTCCAGTAATAATATTTCTGTCCACAAAAACAGTGCAGCTGCACACAACTGACCAATTGCACAAGTGGAAATTTTTCACATCTGTAAAGTTCAAGGATTTGTTTTTCCTTTTAAACCTGTTCAGCCTTATTTTTTGAACCATTTTTTCCTAAAGTTTAAAAAAGACTTTGTAAAAATTATATATAGAGAGAATTCTATAGACATTATCTGAAAATCATCTGTATGAGTGCTTTAACTACCTTTCCCAACCTTTCTGTCATCCACAGAGGACAGCAGAAAGATCACAGAGCAAATCAGAAGCTAGATTCTTGCTCGTGATAAAATGCTTTCCTGTTTTGCCCTGCCTAAAGTGGGCAGATCGGGATCTGGATTTCCTTTAGAAGATCTCCTTCGTAACAACTTCACAACAAAAAAGAAACCTCAATGTGCACAAATCGTATTTCAGAGTCTTTCCCCAGTTCCAGAGCTTCGTAAAGCAGTCTCAGTGTCAACCAAATTCAGACTTCTGGCAAATGCATCTAAATCCAGACATACTCTAAAGCTGAAAGTTTCATTTTTCAAGAGCTCTTTCACAGAACTGTTCTGCTTTCTGGTGGAGAGGGGAGATTTACATTTTAAGCCCTATTGTCCATGGAAAATGCCCCTAAGATTACTTTCTCCTTGACAAGGTCCGTGTATCCCTTGTTGATAGTTTTTTAACACTAAAAGCAAGTAAATTTGATGGGAGAAGCGGTCTCACATGATATTGTTCTCTACGAAGCAAGAAAATTAGTTAGTGAAAGAGCCCCAGTAAAGCCCTAGATGCTAGACCCCTATGACAGTCAGCTACAAGATACAAAGCAAAAACAGAAAAAGACTTCATTAGTTCCAAGTTAACAAAGCTACTGGATTATTTTCAGAGTTGTGGGTTGGGTTTGGGGCTTTCTCATTGGAAGGGGAATGGAAGAAAATGTTTTGGCAGGAAAGAAAAGCAGTAAGAGAAACAGATTTACTAACTACTCACTAAATACACATCCCTCCACTCTTGCATTCAATTCCTAACAGAACTTTCTTTTTTTCTTCAACAATCTTGTACATGTATGTTACTTACGTAGGTTTTCAGCAAAGCGATATCTCCTTCATCCAGAGCTGAAACAAGATGGGAAAGACTTAGTTTCCAATTTTAAAAACAAAACCAGCAGTACCGATTCTGCTTCCAAAAGATGAAAACACACATTTTAAAGCGATTCTTTTGAGCTTCTACTTTTTTACTAAACCAAAGTGGAACAAAAAAGTATCAAATGTCCAAGAAAAACAACACAGGGTCTCCAGCTACTCTCTTCAGTCCAAAAATCTGTACCACCCAGAGCTCACAGCAAGCAAGATACTTAAAACTTTGCCTCACTCAGAGTAGCTTACCAACCTATGACTGTACAGAGAAGAAACTGAAGATATCAAAACTTGATCTTTATAACTCTTTGTTTCTTAATGTTTAAGAAGTTGCGGAAAGTTTATGAGGGTTAAAAAAATTGACACAAATATTCACATAAGGAAAATTTAAGGGCTGTTAGTAGCAACGTGTGACCCGGGAGTGGGAGCTCACCATGTATTTGCCACATTCCCGGATCTTATTGTTGGAGAAGGGATATTGGACCAGGCTGTTTATCTCATCTGGTATGACCATTCCCATGTTCTACATTTTACAATATTAAAACTCAGCATTGTATTAGTTATTGATTCCAGGCTGCTTTAGTAGTTTATGGTAGTGTTTTCTTGCTGAGACCAGCTTATATTTGGTTACTGTTCCCTGCTCACACAGGGCATTACGGAAGAGAGACATCACTGGAGGGAAAATGGTGACAGTTTTTCATTGATCACAATGAAAACGTGATGACCAATGACCAATCCCGGGTCACACATTGCTATTAACAGCCCTTAAATTTTCCTTATGTGAATATTTGTGTCAATTTTTTTAACCCCTATAAACTTTCCGCAACTTACAGCGGAATATACAGGAAGAAATCCCTGATTTCAATCAGCACTGTGCTTCCTTTTACTTGACTTAAACTTGGAATATAAAAATTGTACTTGGGCCTCCGAATTCCCGCATCAGAACAAGCAGCATCAGCTCTTAAGTGCTAAGCTTTCACACAGAGTTCTGAATTACTCCAGTGAACACTCCCAATTAACTAAGAAAAATATAATTCTCTATTACTGTCATCGCCTATTTACTTCTGTATCACTTGTCACTTAACAGACCTTTAACAATCCCTATCTCTTCCCTCCAAAGCTCTCTCTTTTCCAAACCCAATGACAGTCTTAAGCATCCCTGGCCCTCTGTTTTTCTTTCTTTTCTAATTCCACTGTATCTTTTTATGATAGAGGGAGCCCAAACTACACAGTATTTAAGATCTGGGTGCAGTGTGTATTACACAGTATTTTGCGAGGATTTTTTTTGTGTTGATCTTTCTTTCTTTCCCAATTATTTGTGCTACCCCATTGATTTTTTTATAGTTACTAAACACTAAGTTGTTACAATAAAACAGTCTTTCTTGAGTGGAAACAGTTCAAAGTCCATCACTCATTACACGTAGCATTGCTGTTGTTTCCACATGCATTATTTAATATTTACTAACATGAAATAAAAAGAAAAATGGAATTCAAACATGGGGAGCAACTGGCAATTTTCACCCTATCCCGGTATCACCGGAAAAATCTGCCACCTCACTCCCCTACGCATGTCCCCCGAACGGGCAGCAGACTTCGTGGACCTGTTTCTCCTCAGTTTTCCCTCTAAAATATTTCAAAACCAGACTGATGTTTAACACCCCCATCCCACGGACCGCGGCACCGGCCGAGCCCGGGCTCCGGGGGCCGCTCGGGGGCCGGCGACCGCGGGGC